GGTATATCTTTCTACCTCCCAGCAATCAGTAGCAGAGGCACCTGTCCTCCAGAGTTTATATATGTCTGTTCTTTTATTCAGAACAGTATGCCCTCTTTTTGAGATCATCTGCTAATACAGTGACCAGCACAGATCCTCATAACACACCCCTCCAACTATTTTGAAAACAAGTAGTTTGTTCCTACCTCATTTTCTTATCTCTAATCAGTCATTAATTTATGAAAGTACCTTCTTTCTTGTCCCATGACAACTTCCAGTTAATAGCACTGGGAAAGAACCTCATCAAAAGTGTTCTATGGAAATAAACATAGTACGTCAAGCATACTTGCTTTCTGAATTTCAAAACACTCTAATAGACCAAGAAAACATGATTTTTTTCTAAAAGAAAATGTAAAACCCAAGTCATGTTGATTCTTCCTCATTATATCATATGCTTATTCATTCTTTCTTATTCGTTCCTATTCTAGTCACAGCCAGTTTCCCTCATGTAGGAACTAGAATGACTTTTTATGCAGGTCTCTCTAGATTCTCTTTTGAAAAAAAGGATTTGACACTTGCCACACCTATTCTTCCTGTGCTAATACCACTGTAAGTGATAAGCTATGCACCAAAGTTCGTCATTTGGCAATTTCTTGTCTAAGTTCCTTTGAAATACCTGGGAGAATGTTATCGGGTAGATGTTGTACTTGGGGACATGGTTTAGTGGTGTTGATAGAGCTAGGACAAATGTTGGACTCTATGATCTGGAAGGTCTCTTCCAACAGAAACTGTTCTGTGGTTCTATCTGGTCCTTATATTTGCCATGATTCATTTTATAGTTTTCTTCTAAAGCACCTTCTATTGACACTAAATTTGAAACACTTCCTGGGATTTACTTCCCATAGGAAAAATCTCCAGGATAAGAACTTCTCAAACTCTTCCAATGCAAAGGATTATCTTATTTTTATGCCTTAGAGACTCTCCTCTTTCAGCATATTTGAAAAAAGGTTTTAGTATTAGTTCTTACGCTTCTAGAAAGTTGGTCCTCAAAATCTTTGTGGGCTTGCTATATCATAACTTTACATTTACCTGGCTAGAGTTCATGCTTATTTCTTATTCTCGAATGACTCATTTGTAGAACTTTTTTTTTCCTGTTGTTAAAAAGGCCGCAGTTTTTGTAGCATATCACCAGCCCCTACAGAACTTTGTATGGATTACTACTGAAAACATGGCTGTGAAGCAGTAAGGTAATAACTGCTGGGTGTGAGATTCATCCAGCAGATACAACACACAATATGGCTATGTATACGCTTACAAGCTTCAGTCTCCCACAGTGCAGTTCTTTCCCAGTAGCATTAATGGAAACTCAACAGAGATGTGTCAAATATTCATTAGCAATGCGAGACCTGATCATGTTCCTTCCTCATCTCATGGGGCCTCTTCCACTGCAAATCACATCAGTCAGCAGTGCAAGACTGTTTGTACTGTGCTTTTCTTTGCATCTTCCTTCCTATTGTGCACCATTTTTCGGGCATGATAACTTTATACCTCTGTCTCAGGTAAGGGAGGGTTTTGTTCAGAAAGAAGCACCTAAATCCTTTTCCTCTTAGGAACAGTCCTAAAAGGACAGTGAGCAGCACTATCCAAACTTCAAGGTCAGACGCTAGCAGTACCAGAAGGTCAGCAGTTATGATAGAAAATACAATTGCCTCTACACCCATGACTGATTGGTTACATTTGACAGCTCTCTGCTTCGTGATACCGTTAGACATAGCGAGTGTGAAATTCATCTTCAGTGACTCCAGCCTCTTGTTACAGCTTTCTCTAATGTGCCATGGCAGAGAAGCAGAGAGCTGAACGCAGCTGAAACTTGAAAGGACCCAATGCTAAAGACATAACAGTGATAATTCTCATTTCTCTCTGACTAGGCTTCCTCTCCATTCACACGATACGTCTGAAGCAGCAACGATGGCTGGTGCTTAGTTCAACGGGAACAGCTGCTGTCATGCTTCACAGATACCTCAGAGTTGTCGTCAAGTCAGGGAAATCTGTCTCAGATGATCAACAAAAACGTGGCTGCTTAATGACGGCAGCCCTCTAATTAAGGTAAAGTGGTCTAGGTGTACAACTAATTTTCACACACACTTTACAAATGAGCTCACTTAAATAGAAAATAATTTGAGTGGTTTCAAGGCAAAAATTGTTTACAGAAGTCAGTAGGAGCAGATACCAGCAGACCCAGATTGCCAGTCCTCTGCTGAAATCTCTTCAGTGTGATACATTCATTTTGTGCCTTTCAAAAACTACTTCTTTCTGTGACCAAAAGAGATTCAGGAGAAAAAGGAGGAGCCACTCAGCAATTTTTGACATGCCTGTCCTTGGGGACCAAGACCACAGAGGTTATGGCAGCCGCCTTCCAGACCCTGACACAGAGAACACAAGGGCTGATTTAACTTGCAAAGCTAATAAGAGCAAAGAGAAATGTCAGGGGAAAGGTAACACTGTTGTAGACAGAAATACTGGTATAGACTTTCAAATCCAGTGAGAAATTTCTATGCAAAGTCCCATTAAAGCAAATAGGAATGAACATCCAAATCCACACAAATCTTTGAAAAACTCAGCTTTTTTACCTCATATGCTTCCAAACAAGGATTTATGCTCTCCAAAAACAATCACTAACTAAAATTAGCATAAACCAGGTTGTACTGTACCTACAAGATAATTTCGTTAAGCTATACAGGTAAGAACTTGAAGTTAACTACAGATACCATTCCTTGTCCTTGAAGGTATTGAACAAATCCACTGGACACCACTTCTTAGGTTTTCTGGTCTATATCACAGCCTCCTCCGACCACATTTATTGCTACATATTTATTAATACTAGAGGATTGAGTTGCTAGCACTTAAAGAGTTACTGTAAATTTATGGAGGTGTGCATACACACATTTTTGCTACAGAAGACAGAAACATTAAGCTTTAGTGAAAGTGATTTAAGCTAACATTCGAAATGGACAGAGTACCCACTCAAGTGGTCACTGCAACTCATCTGACATGAGGTAACTCATTAAGCAACAGTAATTCAAATTTGTGGGAGCCCTTGGTTTTCCAGAACTATCCCTTCACTTAAGATGGCTCACAGTTGAATTACCAGGTTTGAGCTTTTGATTTTCAGTCACAAACACATCAACTGTATGGATATTATTTGAAGCTTGATACATAAATTTCCTAACCAGGCACTTTATAAGGAGGTTCAGAAGTCAGATACTCACTGATCTGGTTGGTAGATGCACTATAAAAAGCATTTACAGTAGTCGGGCTTGTAAACCACCTACGGTAAGAGCAAAAGAAATTGGCTGTCAGTACACTTACACATCTTTAAGAATAGGAGCAAAGATAAAAAGTAAAGTCAGTGGAAGGAAGCAAAAATGTCAAAGACCCAGGATACATTAAAGTTTAAGTATTTCTCCATTTCAACACATGCTACCTACGCTTTCTAGAACACTGAAATCTATTGTTTAATGGCTTTAAGTGCATACAGTCAATGAATATTCAACAGAAGTGACTGTTAAGCTTCCTATTACTTAATCTGTTTTATTTCTAAGTGACCTTTATGCTTGTGAGGTCTACCACGCTGACAAACTGAAGTTCACCCAACAGAGGCTGCAACACTGACAGCAGCTGTGAAAACTCTCTTAGGTATCTTTCAACCATGTGTGGAGAATCTCCCTCCTGAAATTAGGCAAGAGCATTTTGAAACGAGTGAAGTCGCTGAATAAGTACTTGAACAATTAGGATGATGCCAGAAATATGGGCAGGTGCTCTCGGGGAACCTAAATTCAAAATAAACAGCTTCACGTTCTGTACCCTACACAATGAACATGACCATCAGTGTGCTTATAAAGAAATGGATCTCTTGCAAGGCAAAACAAATTTTAAAAGCCATTTTAGCATTTATTCTCGTAGTTAGATTTCTCACACGTACTGTGTGGAAACCTAGATTTGAATAGCAAAGAAGATTTAAGAAACTCCTTAGCCTAAGCTCATCTATATTGACAGTGGTTTCACTCACATGAGTGGAAAATCTCAACTGGCTTCAGCAAGATCCAAATCCCCTCAGATGAAACTCTGAGTTCAGTGAGTCCAAGATTTCACTTTATGATTTTATAAGGAAGAACTGACATAAAAGACGAGTAATAAAGATGATGAGAATTAGTGGTTAATTCATAATAAATCAGAAGCAACTCTTCTATATGTCCAAACAGGAACATCCTGACGTCTTTAGCAATGCATTACTCGGATGTTTTGTAAAGCCAAACTAGTGCAATGCAATTGCTTTGGAAAAATTCATTCAAAGAGAAGAGATGGGAGCTGCAAAAGAAAGAGTACGTCAAAGGAAGATCTATCAGAACATGGAAAATGCGTAATGTCAGTGACATTCACGTACACGATCTGTGCTTTAAAATAGCACCATCAAATGAATGAGTTATCTGCAGATCCTGACTGTTTTTCTGGCAACTGATTTCCTCACGTGAACCATGGAACAAAGGGGAGAGTTTTAGAATGGCAGCATTCTGTCTTTTATCAATAAATTTATCTGCTTCTCTCATCTTCAAAGCTGAGCAGCTTATTTTACAATGCAGCAACTAGAAAAACTAACCAATGAAAGCAAAGGGTGATGTCACGTAAACATCTTAACAATCCATCGCATTTTGCCACATTGCTCTAATTAACCATCCATTGCTCTAATTGCCACAGATAACTCTGTTTTGTTTACTAGGAGATTCTGAAAGGGAGGAGCAGGGGGAGGTTTTTTTCTGGTGTGTTTTCTGTTTCCTCTATAATAAAAAGATTAAATGTTAGAGGTAACATAGTGAGATAATGGAAAATTGAAGAAAGAATACTTATGGTGAGAGGATAAAGAAAAAATTAGGGGGCTTCATTATCTACATTTCAATTTCATGTTTGTTCATAGCATCAACCAGCTTAACTGTTTTGAAGTATACAAGCCAGCCGCTCGTGCGGTGGGACCTGCTCTCCAGGCTCAGCAGTAGCTCTGGAGGACTCTGTCCCTTTTTTGACTAGGAGAGAACCCATCTGAAACACTCAACACTTTAATTCAGATTTTACTGTAAGTTTGCACAGACACATAGCATTATGGCTTCCACCTCACCCTGTTGGCTTGTTCTACTCACAACAGCCTGCCTATTCCCTCGAACAGCAACTTTTAAGCATGAAAAAGTCTTCCAGGACAACAAATCCTCCCTTTTTGCAAACCTTTCTTAAAGTGAGTGTCTTACAGGGCCTCTCATTTCCAGTCACAGGATCAAGGGCCTGAGACAGATGACAGATACTTCAAAACAGACTAAATGCTTTGATCTTCTACCCATCCTCTTTGCTGCTGAGCCCCAGGGGCTCACCGCAACTAGTTCAAGATAGGAACCACCACAAGTGGTGGTTAAAGAGCTCTTCACTGACAAGCAACACCTCTCTCATAATACAAGTTTGCATCTGTTTTTATTGGGTGAGGACCCAACCAGTGATGCACGTACTTGTCACCACAGGAGCACCTCACACTGCCCAAGAGCAACTGCAAATGCTGTAGCCTTTTGGTCCGCAGCTACCGAGGAAGAATATCACACCACTGCTGGCCGTGCTTTCATACCTATGAACTCATAGACTTGTAGCACATAGACTAGCTGCCAAGACTCATCACAACGTCCCCGTCCTGAGACTATTTCTTTCTTCACAATCTACCACCGCAATAACAGAGTCCATCCTGTTTCCTGCACTTAGTTTGAGACAAAGACTGATAGCAGCCTCGATTTTCTCACTGTAAAAGTGAACTTTCCAACTTCTTTCCAAGCTGCTCTTTCATAATGAAGGCTCAAGAATGACTCCATATGAGGTTTGTTATGTTTTTAAGCAGCTAGGAAGAGGAGACTTAGCAGTCATACCGAGCAGTCAGGAAGAACAAGAGTTCTGTAGTGACAAGCAGAGCATACTGGTGAACTTCATATTTGATGTTTAGACACTCAGCAAGAGCATATTTACACTCCAGCATTTTGTTGTACCATCCTGAGCCACTCTCAAAAAGGTTTAGGAAGCATTTTCCAAAAAGAGCAGAAATAACAGAGACTGCTTCCCTTCAGACTAGCAGAACAGCTTCATCTCTCACCTGTCATCCTCTTTCAGTGAGCTCCTTGAAATGACTGAACCTTTAGGGACAGACCTTAACTAATAACACATCAAATTACTATATGAAGGTCTATAATATATAGCTGCCGCTGATAAATTTTAAGGTGAAGCAAACTCAGAAATAGTGCTCTCAATCCTGTTTGAAGTCAGGTTGCCTGAGCATTTGGCTCTGGGTCTGGTTACAATTTCAGTGCATTTGATCTATCACCAGAAGGACAGGAAAAAAAAAAAAAAAAAGAAGACAGGCATAACAACTCTAAGCTCTTATTAATTACAAACTACATTTAAAAAAAATATTCTAGAATTGTTTCTAATTGCTATTACTATGTGAAAAAGTGACAGCTTTGAATGATGTCCTGCAACATTTCCTATCAACTGCTGCAGCATTCAAAACCTAATGCTGCTGATTTGACACTTGTAAGTTTGAGATTTCTCTTGTAGAAACAAAATCTGAAACCTGCACTGAGATAGCAGGTGGCACAGATACTCCCTTAGATTTGCATTTCTTTAGGCTACATTTATCTCCATGATATCTTCTTTTCTGAGTTAAGACTATAGTGTGCTACATTGCCAGTCATGAAGAGGGGTGACTGGGAACATTTACAATACAGGGAAAAGCTTATTAAATTCTCTGTAAAGCACAAACTGATTTTGCAATTTGTTTTCTCAACTTTTTGAGTTAGAAGAAATCACTCAGGTGAAGCAGAATATGGTGTTCAATGTCCCAAGCAAGAATCTTTTTTTAAAAAATCATATAAGCAAAGAAAATCAACTTGTGAATGTATAATGTGCATAAGCTGTTTAGAAGTGAAAGGCCATACAAAGTTGCTAATAGAGCTGGAATCTGGAAAATCTCTTCCCAAGAAAGGACTATAAAGAAAAACTTCTAAAGGGGAGGCAATCTGTAAGATGACTTTCAAAAGCATAGTTCCTCTTCTCATTGTTAGTGTCTTGTATACATTTTCCTGTGTAGAAACAGAGCATCAGCCTCCCAGGCCAGGCTGCCAGCTGTCTCCCCAAGGACTGGGCAAGAAACAGGGATGGCAAGGCTAGGCCCAGCCTCCAGTGCCACATCACTGCTTAAAACAAAGTTCAAAGACCACGAAAAGGCTTTGGGAGGCTCCTTTCCAGCCTCTTCTCTCCACGGCAGGTCCACCCACAGGATTTCTGAGCTCTCCAGCAGTGTCTCCAACAGACAATAGCCTGTCCAGTGTCTTTTATGTCTGCTTTTCCTTTTTTGCAAAGAAGCTTTTACATTGCCCTTAGTGGCATCCCACCCAGAACCTCTCAGAGCTGCCCTCCCGTCTAAGAGCCAGGGCTTACAAACAACAGTGTGTGTGTTCAAGAAACTGAAATAGGTCCTGGAGGACACCCAGGAATCTTTTCATAGTACATTTCCTCTGTGTCCTCTTACAAGGTTATTAGATGCCTACATCTCCAGCACTGAAAGTTGAGTGAAAAGTAAAGAAAGAATTGGCCAGGTCTAAAAATCTTAGAGGAGGTGTCCTGACTTCAAAGGAGAAAGATTAATAAAAATGAAGTAGTATGCCCAAGAAGTCCTCTGATGCTTTGATATTTGCAAGTATGATATCAGCATTAAGAAGGATACATTTAATCACTGTTGAAAAGGTGCAAGTGTGTCTTTATGTATATATACACGTGTATGTATATTTGAATGTATGAATGTATATGGCTCCATGGATAGATAAGCAAACTCCACTAAAACCCTGATTCTCCTTTATCTCTCCTTGCACATGGCCATCACTTCCTCACACACTGCCTTTCACATCCCTGTGCTCTAGTGATGTCTCACCTGAGTTATTATAATTGTCTTCATGCCTGGTCCCCTTCCTTTCATGCTCCCCTCTTCCAGCCTCACCTCCTCCATTCAGCCCTCTGCGCTGTTTTGTGTATCATATTGCTCAGTTTCTGCCACAAATCCCTATCGTATGTCTCTCCTGATACCTGAGTGCTTTTCCTCTTGTTTGATAAAGCCAGCTGTGAAGACGACAGCCATCTCCCCAGCCAGCTGTTAGGATCACAGCTGACATCCAAAGCGGGTGCTGAGGACGGCAAGTTGTACCTCACGCAGCTGCGGTGCCCACAGGGGAGCCTGGCCCCTGGGACCAGCCAAGCAGGTGGCTCTGGTGCCCTGATGCCTGTCACAGCTCCTTGGTACCAGCTGGGCCAGGTACATCCCCCCCCATCCATGCCCTGGGCAATGCCTCTCCTGACTTCCTCCATGCTCCTTTTTCCTGCAAGGCAGATAACTGCTATGGAGGGAGGGAGTAGAACAGAGGACAAAGAATTTTGATAATTACTCCTGCTTTGGGGGAATTTTTTTTCCTCTATTTAGATTACAAAACTGTTGAATTTCCAGAGTAACTTACTTCTGCATTGATATCCACATTCCCCTTTTGCTTTATCAAACTCCTTTGTCTTCTGTCTCACAGCTCCTCTGTCTAAATTCTGATGGTGTTTCCCTGATGCTTTGAGTCACCACCATTTTGATTTTCCATTTAGTTGACTATGCTGAGGAAAGTGAGTCCAGTCTGAAATAATGCTGGTGAGAAATCCAGACTGTCTGCTAAATGAGTATAGTGTTTTACCTTTTGGGGCTAATATTACTTTACTAGCCGGTAACTTGTTTCCTTGAACACTCGTTTTCTTACTTATCTTTTTCAGTCCACAACTTGGACCATCTTACAATATCTATCTCTAGATATAAATGCTATGCTAAGAGCTACTGAACTAGGGAAAAGAAGAAATGAAGCAAACAGAAACAAAACCCCAAGGGTAATTCTCTATTAACACAGTGCCAAGCTTCAGTGTAGACCAAAGATCTATGGAGTTCTGTGAAATATAAAAGCTTCAAAAAAACCCAAAAACATAAAAAGAAAAGAAAGAAAACAGATGTAGAAGCATCAGAAAGCAGTAGAGTCCAAGAGTTAAAATGTGGCAAGTACTGATATTTTTCAGGCCATGTCTCAGACTGGTGGGTGGGAGTTATTGCTTTATTATAATCAATTTTTTTACAGTTACTGGAGGTGGCAATAACTGTGCCTCAGTATCTGTCAGCAGACACAGCAAAAGCAGACAGTGTGACACCACTTTCAGAGCCCTTTTCTACCACCAAGCAGGTGCAAAGGCAGAATAATCTCCCAGCAGG